CACCTGAGTAGTTTTTAAAAATGCAAATACAAAAAAAAATTTTTAAATAAATAAAATTAATTAATTAAAATTTCAATTTAAAAAGGGCACCTGGGTGGCTCAGTCAGTTAAGTATCCAACTCTTGATTTCGGTTCAGGTCATGATCCCAGGGTAGTGAGATTGAGTCCTGCTTCGGGCCCCGCCCCGGGCCTGGAACCTGCTTAGGATTCTCTCTTGCCCTCTGCCCCTCCCCCCTCCCTCACTAAAATTAAATAAATAGATAAATAAAATTAAAAATAAAAATGCAAATACTCAGGCCACACCCCAGGCCTCCTGACTTGAATACTGTGGGCCAGGGCCCAGCGCTCTGAGTTTTAAGAAGCCCTTGGGGTGCTTCCTAGGTGGCCAAAGTTTGAGAACAAAATAGGATTTTATATAAAGGGCAGTGAGCATGTTCCTACGGCAAATATGGGGAATTCAAGCAACAGCTCAATAAAAGCTGCAAACATAAAACCGAACTGTAATTCAGCAAGGGAGCAAAGACAATATCAAGAGAGCTAAGACACCATAGACTAGGCACCTGGCTTTGGTGATCCCTCTTTGCTGAGTCAAGGATTGACCACAACATATTCCATACTATACCAGTTTTAAAACACTTAGCAAAAAGCCACATGCAATAGTTCTGGATGTTCTTGGGCAACTCAAATTTGGAATTTATTCCTTCTGTCCCACTCAACTAGTTCCTTTCCCCATTATCTGAGGTTGAAATCCTGAAACCACCTTTGATACCTACCCTCCCCATTATCCCCATATCAGTTGCCACATCCTATAGACACAATCCCTCCTTCTTCAATAATTCATTCATCAAATATTGATTATCTATAAGGTGGTATAAATTCATCAGGGAATATGGTGCATAAAATATCCTTGCCTTCGTGGGGCTTACTTTCTCACTGTGGAGACAACAATAAGATAAGTAAAATATATGGTATGTTAGATAGTGATATACTAAGGAGAAAAATAGAGGAGGGCAGGAGATACGATGCTTTGGAAAGGGGCACCTGGGTGGCTCAGTTGGTTAAGCGTCTGCCTTCGGCTCAAGTTACGATCCGGGGTCCTGGGATCGAGCCCTGCATCGGGCTCCCTGCTCATCTCAGAGTTAACTATTTTATTCAGTTAGGATTATAAACATATTGCAGTCTAACACAGACAAAAGTCTAACAGAGGGGCGCCTGGGTGGCTCAGTCGTTAAGCGTCTGCCTTCAGCTCAGGTCATGATCCCAGGGTCCTGGGATGGAGCCCCGCATTGGGCTCCCTGCTCCGCGGGAAGCCTGCTTCTCCCTCTCCCACTCCCCCACTTGTGTTCCCTCCCTCGCTGTGTCTCTCTCTGTCAAATAAATAAATAAAATCTTAAAAAAAAAAAGTCTAACAGAGAAAAATCTGTTATATTTTATGCTAACTAATAATGCTAAGCAGCTAAAAGATTAAAAGTGGATACAAAAATAAAATGTTTCTTATGATTAATGGCCACCAAAAGTTTTCTATTTAAGAAGATATCCAGCTAAATTTGGAAGACTTTTAAAATGCTGGACCTCAAACCTCAGGAAAATTGATCCAGTTAAATATTTTAAGTGTTTATTTTTATTGGTAAGATTTGATGCGATCAATGCTAATCTCTTTATGGAAAGGTGATTCAGACACACTAAAAATTCTACCTCTCCTTTGTGGTGTTTTAAAACAGTCTTATTCCTGCATAATTTATAATAAGAATCCAGAAACACTGAGTCAGATTTTCCCAATGTCTATCATTAAAATGTGGAGGCAGAGAGTGGATTTGTATGGCCCAAATCATTTTTTTAAGGAAGTATGAGTTATTAACTTAGATATCCTGCCACCTCCTCTCTGAAGAAGCTAATACTGGTATCCAAATTTCAAATATGAAAAAAAGAGGAAAAAAGAATCTGAGAATCAAACTCAGATTTAATTCAAAATTAGCAACCATTCTTCATTTCAAGGCCTTAATGATGAATCTCAATTTTATAATAAAAATAAAAAATAATAAAAAATTATGTCAACAGTTGAATGACTCCCAGAGATTTAATTTGTCCTCTTGAAAACCAGATTAAATATTAGACTGTCATTTCCTATAGGTGATAGGTATTACATAATCTGGAGGAAATCAGTAAGTGCAAGATAAATATGAATTTATTTTAAATATTCTAACTGAATATTATTTCTATATCATCAACATCATTTGAATAATTTTTAGTGAAACATTTGCACTATATACTCTCATTAAAACAGGATTCTTTTCTAACAGGAGAAAGTGGCTCTTGAAAGTCCAGTCTAGATACATTAGAGAATTCAGTGCAAGTGAAAGTAAAAAATGAACAGCTCTGTTCCTAATCAGGAGATTTAGAGGCAGAAGTGAGATCAGTCATCACAATGAAGGCATAGGATGATAAAGCTGAGAATATATCAGAAACACTGACAGGGGGCGCCTGGGTGGCTCAGTTGGTTAAGCGACTGCCTTCGGCTCAGGTCATGATCCTGGAGTCCCGGGATCGAGTCCCGCATCGGGCTCCCTGCTCAGCGGGGAGTCTGCTTCTCCCTCTGACCCTCTTCCCTCTCGTGCTCTCTATCTCTCATTCTCTCTCTCTCTCAAATAAATAAATAAAATCTTTAAAAAAAAAAAAAAAGAAACACTGACAGGAAAATCAGAAAGGAAACACTTTATAGACCAACTACCCATCACTGCTAAAAGACTCTTCTTATTCTTTCCTTTAAGAGAAAATATCCTAATCTATCATATTGAGCATAGAAAAGATGGAGAAGAGAAATCCCTAGCAGTACAAGATGATATACAATAAAACAGTATATAGATTCAATTTGGAAAAACAATCTTAAAATTCCATGATGGCTTTTGAACCCACATGCCTAAGTGTGCTTCCCTCCAGAAGTAGGTCCTGAGTCAAAGATTCAAGTCCACGCAGTTTATTTGGGAGGCTCAGAAAACGCTGTTCAGGGAGTGCGAACGTGATGCATAGGAAGCAAAAGCAGCCTACAAGGGATGTAGAAATAGAACTCAAACTGTCTCACCCATCAAATGGGGAAGCTGGGGTGTTCATCAGCCAGTGGTTAAGACTGTTGTGTGTGGGGGTGGGAGAGTGTTAATTCCTTGGCACTCGATGCCAGCCTCAAGCAGGAGCCAAGAGGTTTCCCAGCCTAGAAAGAAAACCTTTGGGCAAAAGGAGACCTTCAGGCAAGGAATACCTATAGTCCTTCAGGCAGGTACCAGCGGTCAGCAGGCCTCCGCCCTGAAGACAGTCAGGTCCCAGAGGTAGACGGGGCATTAACATCATTGTCTACACTTTATCCTCCAAAGGAACGCCATTCCCATCTATAGTCACATCTGTGGTTGGTGTTTGATATCAGCCTTCTCTTCCTTTTCTCAACTATCCAACAGGGCATATATTTCACATTCAAGCCATTTACCCTTAAGCTATAAAGTATACAATTTTAGCTTACCTAGGTCTGTATTTCTCTCCTTGAGTCTACTTTATATTCTTTATAAATTAAAACTATAAGTCTACTCCTGTATTGTAAATTCTTTAATATCAATCTTGCTCTTAATCGAGTTGTAAAAAAAAAAAAATTACTCCTTTGGTAATAGACTTTATGATCCATAAGACATCCAAGAAAAATGGTGGTCCAGGTAGTAGGAGCTCAGGTCACACTAGCATCCAAGGAATCCTTGATGGTATTAGAGCAGAAGTAATTTTTGCAGTTCCAAAAATACACATTGTCACAAAACAATGGGTAGGGGAGGGCGAGTAGGGGAAACAGATATAAAACTTAATTGGGAAGGAACATTTTCAAAGAAAAGTAACTTCACTTGCTCTAAACAAATACAGTCTTAAAAATAGTCCAATCTAACCATTATTTTTCTTTGGCTGCAGGGACAGTTCCATAATATATTAGTAACTTCCTTCTAGGCCTGAAAGGTTCCTCTTTGGCCTCAGTGTTTATATAGTCAAAGTGAGATGATAATGTGCCTGGGTAAATTTTACCTAAAACAACCTTGAGTGGTGCAAGCACTTGATAAATATTATGCTTCATAATTTCAAAAAAAAAATCAATTCAGGGAATTTAGGAAATAGGCTGAAATTAATGGGAGTGTGGCATTATAGGTTTCTTGGATTTAGACAGACTTATTGTGTCACTCAACAGATATAATGAACACTGAACAAATATTGCCTGGTTAAAATTAAATTGTTTAGGTTTGAGAATGCCTAACCTAGTTTTAATAAAGTTCTTGTTTTTACGACAAATAAAAATGAAAAAATAGACAAGTACACATCACTGAAACTTTCTGGACGTTTAGAGGCCCATTTCTTGGCTAGTCTTCTCTATGAACACTTACAAGCATCTGACAGAGCCACTGTTGAATGAGATTGCTGTCTAGTGGTAGGTTTTATATTTAGGTAAGGATCTGGCCACACTACCAAACCCACCATGCCCTTGAAACAAACCATTCATCATAGAATGCAGTATTTTAAAACTCAAGACATCTCTCATTACAGTAAATGACATATTTAAAATCTGTATCTTAAGGATCTCAATCAGTGCTTCTCAAACAATCTGTGATGAAGAACCATTTTTAAATTAATATTTCCAGTCTATCATGTACTGATACTTCTGCAAAATATATTAAAAATGAATTATAAGAAAATGAGTTTTTTTAAGTGCACAAAATGGAAGCCCAGTTTATTATTATTATTATTATTAGATTCAATAGGCATAAAATTACCGTCAAATTTCTTTAAAAGTTTCTCAAGGCTTACTCAAAATTTCAGTACTTATCTTGTCACAGGCCAGTAACAGTTGCTGGGGCAGAACTGACCTGGGTCCACACTTTGAGTAGCACTGATCTAAAATAACTGTGTGCAAAAAAAAAATAAAAACAAAACAAAATAAAATAAAATGTCGTGCACGTATTTACTCAAAAGATATACTTTACCTTTGACATTCTTTCCAAATCCCAAAGAAGAAACTTTTTTGTCCACTTGTTCACTATTGTTTGACTTCTCCTTCATAACATCATCATCACTAACAATATCAGCAGAAAATTTTTTATTTTTCTTTTTGTGTCGAGGAGGAAGCTTTTTTGGAAAAGTAAACATTGGGAATATCACAAGAAACATTGCAACAGCACAAAGGAGGAATCCACTCCACCTAAAAAATTGGGAAATGTGAATAGCATTTATGGCTCTTGCATTATGAATGAGAACAAATTAGCAAAGTAGAAGTTCATGGTAATAAAATTCTCCAGGGAAAACTTCTGTAAAGCAAAACAATTGTAAAGCAGTAGGAAGTTGGACAAACTAAGAAAACATAGGACTCCTCCCTATGTTATAAATGAGAAATCTGCCTGATAATTATACTAGTATTATAATGAATATTATAATTAGCAACCGCACTAGAATTTTATTGAAATATTTGTTAGCTCTGCTATAATGTGCATTTCATAACAAATCAATAAATAAATAACTCATAAATATAATAGAAAAATAATATAGACTCTATAGCATGTTTTATGGACCAAAATAGACACATCTTTCTTAAAAGAAAACCATTCATATCTCATGTGGAATGTATTTTAAATTGCTAATGGCATTCAAATATTTTTTCTGCAAGCACTTAAGAATATATTGACCCTTGGGGTGCCTGGGTGGCTCAGTTGTTAAGCGTCTGCCTTCGGCTCAGGTCATGATCCCAGGGTCCTGGGATGGAGCCCCACATCAGGCTCCTTGCTTGGCGGGGAGCTTGCTTCTCCCTCTCCCGCTCCCCCTGCTTGTGTTCCCTCTCTCACTGTGTCTCTCTCCGTCAAATAAATAAATAAAATCTTTAAAAAAAAAGAATATATTGACCCTCTTAGCTAGCCCTTACAACACTTAACCGTGAGGGCCACCAAAGACATTTATATTTGATTGTTGCCTTCAAGAACTTACAATCTACTGGTAAGGGAGCTAAAAATATAAGAAACAATCTCCAAGAAATGCAAGCATGTATACAATTAAGTGTCAGATCATGTGGTACAGACTATGAATGCTATAAAAGCTCAGATAAAGGAAATGTGTGTCAGAAAGCTTCCTAGGAGAAGTAGACCGTGAGCTATGTCTTTGAACTCATCTGAGGTTGCCAAGCTGCAGAGACTAAGAAGCAAATATAGAACGTAGTACTCAAATTCTAGTCTGGCATTAGAGCCATGTGTTAAGGCCTTGGGCTTCTTGTCTGCATAATTCCTCAAGGGCAATCTCTCAGTCCCCTTTCAATACTTTCTTAGCAAGTAGAGGCCCCTGATCCTACAGAACAGGGTTGCCACTTTCTTACTAGGACTCCTCAGCTCTAATCTCTGTCCTTCAAGCTTGCAAATTCTTGATGCTCAGACTCTGTCCTCTGTCTCAGCACATTCCCATCAGTTGTAACCTGAACGCAAGCAGCATTCTAAGCATCAATGTTGAATTCAACCCATTAGGAATACAGATCAATTGCAAAGTGAAAATTCATTTTTAAAAAGATAGTGCTTCTACTAAAGTACTGTTATCAGCTGTTAAAAGTCACAGTTTCACTGACAGAATAATTCCATGAACCAGTTATTAATAATCCAGTGTGCTATCTTCAAAGATACTTAGAGTTATATCAAATAAAGATTTTTAAACAATTGGGGAAAAAAGGCTTTATTTTGAGAAGATTGCTCAGGGCAGACTTCTAGCAATTTCAATTATTCAGTATAACCAAGAACCCAGTGACTGACATACTCAAAAAATTTCCTGAATAAATAAACTGAATGAGATAGATTTAAAAAAAAAAAAATTCTTTAAATATCTCCAGAGAACATAGCTATGATTGTATCTGGCCCCTGTAGTACCTGGCTGCTTATGAGGCCTTTACCAATAAACTGCCCCTGCTTATCTGCCACCTTTGAATCTCTTTCTACAATTCTGCATTCAAGCCCCTTGGACTCCTTCAGTTCCAAAAGCAGAACAGGACAAACAGTGCAATATAAGGGACAGTTCTTGAGCTGTGGCTTCAGACAAATGTGGTTTTTTTTTGTCTTGTCTTTATGACCTACTGGCTCTAAGATCCTGGGGAAATTATTTCACTTTCCCAAACCAACTTTCTCATCTGAAAGGGGAATAATGCTAACTGCTTTTTGGAGTCATCAAAATTAATAAGACAATGTATATAATGGACCTGAAAAAATCAACAATCACTTCATGGTAGCTAGTCTTGTTTTTGTTTTTCTGTAGATCTGTACTCAGGCCCTCCCCACACCTCCACTCAGAGCCATCGACTTAAAATTATATGCAAACATTAAAGATACACTTATAGTAGTCCAGAGTAAGAGCAAATAACAGAAGGAGGGGAAGAATTATAGCAAATAAACAAAAATAATATAAAAATAGTATAAAAGTTTGGGGGTTTTTCAAAGCTGAGCAAACTGGCCCAATTCTCCAATGGTCTTCAGTAGCATTGACAAAATGCATGATATAATGATGAGGCCAAAAAAGACCCCGCGAGAAGCTGATGAAGACAGAAAAGTGCATATTAGGGGTGCCTGGGTGGCTCAGTTGGTTAAGCATCTGCCTTCAGCTCAGGTCATGGTCCCCGGGTCCTGGGATCAAGTCCTGCGTTGGGCTCCCCAGTCAGCAGGGAGTCTGCTTCTCCCTCTGCCCTGCCCCCACCCCCACTCTTGTGAGGTCGCTTGCTCTCTCTCAAACGAATAAATAAATTCTTTAAAAAAAAAAAAGTGTGAGTTATATGTTAGGAAAAGATCCATCAGTAAGAACTAAAATTGAAAAACCAGGGTCCCTAAGTCCCTTTTATAAACCACCCCTCAGAGATTATTCATAAAGTAGGGCCAGTTAAGTATATTGACTAAGAGCTTTGCCCTGTACTCAGTTTTTTATCCCAGCTCTCACTGCCTCTGAGGCTTTGGGCAAGTTATTCAAATCACAGGGCATTAATTTCCTCATCTATAAAATGGGCATAATATTAGTGAGTACATACAGTTGTTATATATGTAGGCTTAAACATATGAAGTTCAAACAAAAATGTTTGTGAAGCTCTTAGTAGAATGCTTGACACACAGTAAGCACCCAATAAACATTAGCATTATTCATTCCTTCATTCCTTTCTTCAATCTTTCAGCACATGTTTATTGAAAAATCCATCATTACTGCTAGGCATTGGATTAAATAGCATTGTATCAAATAACTGTCTTTGGTCAAGGTAGAAGTCTGTTACAAACAGAGCTACTCAATAAATAAAATTCAATTTTTAATATTGGACCATTAAAACAGATAAAAGTTCCTGAACATAGATTAAATTCAAAGGACTTAATAATAGCTAACATATCCTAGATAGCAAGAACTATTTAAAGCCCCACATATATAGACTCATTTATTCCTCCTAACAACCTATGAAGTAGATACCGTAATTACTTCCATTTTATAGATTCTTTTAAAACGAACAACTGAGCACAGAGAAGTTAAGTAACTTCCCCCAGGGTCACACAGCTATTGGGTGGCAGACAGAGATTTAAACCCTGGACAGAAAAAAAAAAAAAAATTAAATTAAAAAAATAAATAAAAAAAATAAACCCTGGACAGTATGGCTTTGGGGTCTGTACTCTTAATTACTCTACTTTGCTACCAATTAGATCGATGTCTAGAAAACTTTTAAAAGTCAGCATAAAGTACTTGTAAGCCTAAAGCTCCTGTCTCCTTCCTTCTCCCTGCCCCCAAGCTGGCCCTCCTCCCCTTTCTCCCTCCCTCTAGATGTTCCCTTATTGCCGTGCTCTTTTCATGGACACCTATATAGAACACAGAATGTACACTGAATGTTCATATACATATTGTCTTTTCTGTGGTCTTGTCTAATCTCCTTTTCTGAGAATAAAAAAATCCTTACTCCGATTTACTTCAGAACTGCAAAGAAAACAGTGGTTGAGGCCAAAAATTTCACTAGTGGTCAAGAACTTAAAATTCCTGTGTTATTCCCCTAATGCTGACAAGGGAACTTCCTTTTGTACGATCTGAAAATTCTATGAGCCCAGGTTCATCTAAATCTTAGCACATCCATCTTCAAAGAGCATTACTTATGAAAATAAGAAGTGTTATGTAACTTATTAATATTTCTTAACTGCTTTGAAAATAGACAGCGTTAAGCATTATTCCCATGTACTTCAGAGTTATGAGATTCTCTTATAATGAAATGCAGAGATAACACAAGTTATCTAAGAAACTCTTAGAAACTCTTTTTAAAGTAATTAGTGGAAACTAATTTCTAATACTGAACTATTCTCTTTGTTATAAAATGAACATGTCTTATCAATGTATACCTATTACTAATCCATGTTAAATGAATTCAGGAAGCCAATACTTTTCAGTTAGCGCTTGCTATCATTAGAAATAACTCATGTTCAAGTTGAGGATCATGAAGAACTGAAACACAGCCCTGGCTATACGGATAAATAACCTAACATCCAAAGTTGGAGTTCTCATTCTAAGTCCGAAAAATCACTTATTTAGCAAGACAATTAAGAGCTAGCAAGTGAGAGAATAGCTAGATCTCCAGCACCTGTTGGAAAAACAATTACCAAGGGAAAAGATTCACTAAAAGTGTGACAATGGAAAAAAGGGGGGCAGGGGCTGGAGTTTTGGGCAGTCAGGGAGGGTTGACAAAGCAGAAATGCTAATCTAATAAGGAAGTGGGAAGAAAATATTTTCTAAAAGGCCCAGAAAAGATAATGAAAGCTAGGACTCGAGAACACAGGAAAGCCCCAACACAGCCACTCTCTCCTCTCCCACTCTGCTATTTATAGCTAAAAGTGCCTCAACCCTAAAGAAGGTGGATTAAGCCAATGCTCCCAAGCCCTCAGCATTAGTCCCCCATTGCTGCTATAACAAACTACCCCACACTTAGTGGCTTAAAACAACACAAATGTGTTATCTTATAGCTCTGGAGGTCAGAAGTCTCAAGTGGGTTGGCAAGGCTGCACTCCTCCCGGAGGCTCTAGAGAAGAACCTATTTTCTTGGGTTTCCTAGATTCTAGAGTCCCAAGTGTGTTCCTTGGTTCATGATACCTTCCCTCCATCCCCAAAGTACGTCACTTCAACCTCTGCTTCAATCACCATATCTCTTTCTTACTCCAACCATCCAGCCTCCCTCTTTCCCTAATAGGGACCCTTGTGATTACACAGGGCCCATTCCTGTCCGACCTCAGGAAAACCTTCCTATCTCAAGATCCTTAACTTAATCACATCTGCAGTCTCCTTTGCCATGTAAGCCAACACATCCATAGGTTCTGGAGATTAGGACATGGATATCTCTGGGGGATTACTATTCTGCCTTCTACTCCCTTCTAGGCAACTTTTAGCTGTTTTTCATATTCCCATGGGGAAATTTTTATTTTAACTACAAGGGTACTATGACTTGAACTATCATTAATAACAAATGAAATGAAAAATGTAGTAAACAATTCTTACCAGTTTCCAATGAAACGAGGGTCATTCTGGTCAAGGTTAACAGGATTTCTGGGATCGACATAAAAACCAATAAGAAGTCCACCTAATAAATATCCCACTGCAGGACCAAGTGCTCCCATGACATACATGATGGCTGAGAAGACACAAGGGGAAACGTGAAATACAGAAACATGGTCCTTAAGTTTCAAGTGTGGTCTAATTTCAGTCATACCATGTATGTATGTCACAGTTAAACCCAGGGAACAGCATCCAAAACCAAAGAACTTTAGAGATGTGTCTATACTTATATTTGGGTTTCAAATCATGCCCTTTATTCAGCTGCTGCCTATTGTCCTTTTAGAACATTAGAATCATGTCTGGACAGCTTTTCAGTTGTTGTTGTTGTTGTTGTTTTAAAGATTTTATTTATTTATTTGACAGAGAGAGACACAGCCAGAGAGGGAACACAAGCAGGGGGAGTGGGAGAGGGAGAAGCAGGCTTCCCACGGAGCAGGGAGCCCGATGCGGGGCTCGATCCCAGGACCCTGGGAGCATGACCTGAGCCGAAGGCAGACGCTTAACGACTGAGCCACCCAGGCACCCCAACTTCTGTTCTGTTTTTTAATAGAAGTGCTCAGGCCCCACCCCAGACCCACTAATTTAAATTTCTGAAAGTGCTAGTTAATGAGCAGTCACTGGATAACCCAGAGAAGATAAAAGTTCGTTTCAAAGATTAAAAAATAAATAAATAAAAGGTCATCTCAAGATAAGAAGAAAAAGAAAAAAGTGGATGTCACTTGTCACAACTGGAAGATTCCAACAGAATGAGGAAGCTCAAGGCCACATTCTACCATGAAGCTGGATTTAATTGAGTTGGCAAAGATGCTTAAGCACCTCAAATCATGAATATTTTTCAAATCACCACACTTTAGAGTCAAAGAAGAGCTCACAATGCATTTGGTTTATTGCTAGTTGAGGAATCTTACTTAAAGATTAATAAATCTCCTTAAATGGCATCAGTGAAAAGATCCAAACAGATAGCACCAACCCACAGCTGAATTAGAAAATAATTTTTTTAAGCACATGACCAAAGCGGGAGGGGAGGGGGTTGTATCAATAGATCAGAAAGTGTGTCATTCTATCAAAAAAAAAAAAATTGTCCATCAAAATGGGCTTATAGCAAAAAATAACAATAAATTCATTGTCATTCCTTTATACTATTTTCACTGCTGTGATTTCAAATAAAAAAATAATTTGTCAAATCTTAAATTTTGAGGTAGGATATGAAATTCCTTGAAAGTCATAGAAAAATCTGGAGTGGGCTAACACTCCAAATCCACTTTTTTTTTTCCTGTTATTTGGAGAAAAATCTATAAACACTGTTAAGATGCTCCTGTGTTCAAGGCATGATAAACTCAGGTATAACATATTTCTCATTTCTGCTGCCATCATGCACTTAAACCACTGAATAAATAACTGGTTTGCCATACCCTTTAAATAGTACTATATTTACCAAAAAGCAAATTGAATAATCAGAATAACTTCACCTTACTTTATCTTCTGCACCTAAATAAACTTTGCATAAACTTGTACTTCCTATTACTTATAACTACAGACAGTAATTTAACACTTGCTCTCACTTTTCACACTATTTCAAAAGAGAAAGCACATGATTTATTTTACAGAATCATCTGCTTGTAACAATAAGACATTAGCTGCTTCGACTTCTCCATCTGTTTGGAAATGGAGAATGGGAGGAAGCATAGCCACAAGTAATTGTTCTTATTCTTTTGGAAGCACGCTTTCTGGCGTTCTTTTGGAAGCATGCTCTTAATAAAATAAAATCAGAATTTTGATAACTCTCTCGTTAACCTCTCTGTTTGTAGCCTGAAACAGAACTCAAGAAGAGAAAGTGCTTTTTCAGTTCCAGGTTTTCCCATATGCATATGGAGATAAAATTTATGTTTACACCTCCAGGCAAACCAGCACCATTTACAACTTAAAACTGTAATGAGGCCAAAATGTGACATGAATCATCTTCCCAAAATAGTTCTGGCATGAAAGAGACTGTCTTATAAACACAGACAGGGAAAAGGGTATTTCCGCCATACTGTTTATGCCTGGGGTACTTGAGGGCAGCATCTCGGAAGGCCCAGCAGCACAGCGTGCAGCATGGGTGCTGGCAAGACCTCGCAATTACATAGTGAATGGAAAACCAATTAAGTCACATTCACCCAAAAACCTTAACTACTTTATAAAATACAGAGAGAGCTTTTTAAAATGCAGCTATGCAATCAGAAGAAAAATATTTCTAATATATAGCAAACACTGAGGCCAACTGAATCATTCTCATAAATAGGTACGTACATACATTTATACAATTGTACTATATTTATACTATGTACCGTGTCATAACTATACTACACATTGTGTATCTACAAATCAGTAAGTATATAACAGTAGAGATAGAGATAGAGAATAACTCGTGGACATGGTCCCATTTAGTAAATAAATCATTCTGGCCACTGAGCTAACATTGATTAATTGATTAACCAATGGCACTCATTCAGAGCTTAATAGAGGGGCAAACTATTGATGCAAATTCATATCACTCACTCTCCCAGTCCAAAACTCCCAGTCACACACACACACACACACACACACACACACACACACACACACACACTGCCTAAAGAAAGTCTAAACTACTCTATCTGGAGTTCAAGGCTGGGACACGTTGGCCTCCTGCCACCATTTTGTTTTTTTTCCATTTTAATCTTAAAACCTACCGCCTGCACTCAGGGGTCCACACAGACTGACTCTCAAAACAGGCCTGGGCTGAGCCACCTCCCTTCCCTTGAAGACCCACAGTGCCCCCAGGCCTTCCTATCTGTGTAAATCCTGCCCCTTCTTCAAGGCCCAACAAAGTCCAGCACAGCCCGTCCTCCCCTGAGTGGTCTCTGTCTCCTCAGAATCCCTGTAGACGACATATTATCTATTCCAGGGGCCTCCACACCTTTTCATCATGCATCCCTATCAGTAAAAGGATTTAAACATTTACCCACAGTGTCCTTTTCTGTATAAATAATGTGTATTTCCCACCAGCCTCATTCTCACAGCTCACACCTAATATGTCAGTAAACCCTGCTGGTTCTACCATCAGATCATGACTAATATGCCCCTCCTCCTCCATGCCTCTACCTTGGCCCAAGCCACCAAGGTCAATCAACTGGAAAATTCCTCCAGGCCTTCCAACCGATATCCCTGCTTCTGCCCTTCCTTCCCTACAATGCATTTTCAACACGGCATCCCTAACAATCTCTAGAAACGTGAGCCACGTCATGTCACTTCTCGGCTCACACCTTCCAGTGGCTTCCCACCTCCCTCAGAATAAAAGCCCAAATCCTTTTATGTGGTTACAAGGACCTGCCCCCGCACCGGCCCCACCCCCTAGGATCTCTCGGCTCTGTCTCCTAACCTTCTTCTTGTTCACCCAGCTCCAGTCAAACTGACCTTCTCCCTCTTCTTCACCCTGCCAGGCACATTCCCACCTGATGGTGTTAGCACTTGCTCTGTCTGGGTCTGGGTGTGGTTGTGTAATGCTTCTCCCCCGGGGTTGCCTCATGGTGCACTCCCTTACTTCCTCCAGGTAGTTAATCAAACAGTCCCTTCTCACTGAGGCCTTACTTGGCCATCCTATCTAAAAATTTTAAAACTTTTTCCCCAATTCTTCCCCCTCTTTCTCTGCTTCCTTTTTTTCTCCTCAGCATATGTTGGCACCCAACATACTCTATATTTCCTTTGTTCACCTTGTGTATCACCTGTCCTCCTCAACGAGAACATGAGCTCCAGGAGGGCAGGGATCTTGCCGGTGGTGTTCACTGACGAAGTAGTGTAGAAGGCACTCGACCCACTTCGCTCCCATTATCCATTACCTTCAGCACTCCCAGTCAGTCCGTGAACGTGCTGCTGTTACTAACAACAGATATCAGTGATAAAAGTCGTCTTCAGTGTATATCGGCTCTTGAGATATTAGCGAATCACTATCGAGTGGACAGTTTCATGTTTTTTGTCCGTGTGCCATCAGAACAGAGTACACTGGCGTTGGTTTTCTGTCATGATGAGGAGCTTATACGGGGAAGTCCAGACTATCCAATGAACTAGCAATAGAAATAGAACTAGAAGTTCCAAGTTTCAAGAGTGGTCTAATTCCAGTCATACCACATATACATGTCACAGTTAAACCCAGTCAACAGCATCCAAAAACAAAGAACTTTAGAGATTGTGTCTGTATTTATATTTGGGATTCGAATCATGCCCTTTATTTAGCCACTGCTGCTGTCTTTTAGAACATCAGACTCACCTGGAGAATTTTCCTCTTGCACCCCAAAGGACCGTACTACATCTCCCCTGGATTGTACACAATGCAGCTTCATACCCCTTTCAGAGAACCCTAGACCATTCCATTCATTTGAAATTGAGTATGCCTTGCTCTTCACTTGTACTTCTTCTTCAAATGTTTATATCTTATCTTTTGAAGTAGCTCTTTATCCTGGATAGCAGGAGCCATATCGTATACAGTACTATGCAGTGGTTAAATCCCAGACTACAAACTCCTGGGTTCGAATCCCTGCTTCCATTATGTGTATAAAGTGCTTAGCATATAACAAACATGAAGAAATATTAACTTGCGTTTTTATATGTTGAATGATCACCTATTCATTCTCTAACAAGTATTATTAAATATTAATTTTGTATAGGCCAAAATACAAAATACATGCATTATTTAACAGAAGGCATACTTATCTTTATATTACCTTAATGAATTATCTTTTCTGGAGTCACTATTTTTGATCCAGGAGTTAGTTTTGATAATGGCCTGGGCAGATGGGAGTGGGAAAAGAGAATACCCAGGCCTTTCTTTCCTCACACAAAGGTCAGTATGGACTATCTTCCCGAAGCTGAGAATGTGCCTGTGGCTATTATTCTTTTTTTTAACCTTTAGGTTTTTTCCTAATGATTACAAAATATAATATGAATTCCTTGTAGAGATAACTCTCAAGAGCACAAAAACTTTAAAAAAAAATCACCAACAATCCCTACCATCCAGATAATGATGGTAACAATAGTAATAAATACTTTTTACTATTCATA